TTGTAAAAACTTTAATTGAATTTCAATAAAGTTAAAGGCATGGCCTCACTGTTAATATTTAAAAAAAAAAAAAATAAGAAAGTAATAAAACTAAAAAAGGATTAGTCATAAACAAGGCTGTATTGCTTTCAAATTTAATGCATGATACAAAAAAGTAAAAACTATTAACAGTATTACTTGATAAAATAGTAAAGCAATTCAAGCCATAATTTATAAAAAATAAAGCTAAATAGGTTAATATGTGAGAATATAAGTATAGATTGTAAGTTTCTTTAAATTAACTGATAAAGAGAAAGTTAAAAGGTTAATATAATGTTGCTAGACTAAAAATATCAATAATTTAAGCCATAATTAAAAAAAAAAAAAATTAGCTCATCATCAAAGAATTAAATACTGTAGATTAAGTTATTAATACATATAGATGGAATATAAGCCTTTTTAAATTCATTAGTAGTAAAAAAAAAAAGAACAAATTATCACAAATATATTTAGACTAAAAACAGTGTATTCTAATTATAATTAAACTCAAAATTAATTAAGACTATCATAGAAAATAAAAATAAAACCAAAATTAGTCAGAATATAGACAAGATTGTATTAGTACACATAAGAAGAAAATGAATTTTAAAAGCTGCTTCACATTTGTAAATTATGAGTAAAAAAAAAAGAAAAAATTAAAACAAAAAATAAAAAAATACTTCTATAATACTTCCAAAGCCTCAAATATAATAGGTCAAACAAATAATCTTATATATATTTAAAAAACTATAAAAGCAATTGTAATAAGAAGAATTCAAATTGCTCATCTTGAAGTTAATAAAGGCTTTTTACCTTTTATTTTTGACTAAATTTCCAAGTTATAATAACATTATTATATAATCCTTGTGTGATAGTTTTATCTTGTTAATTTTACACTTATCTAAATTATTCATATATAAAGTCATCTTTAATTTAATATATTTTTCTATTAAGTGAAGTTTTAAATAAACCTATATATAATTTGTTATTAAAATTAACCAAGTTAGATCTATTATTTAGTATCTTAATAATGAACATGAATAACATAAAATTTTGTACCTTATGCATAAACTGGTTACTAGCAGAGGCCTTTGTTCATAATAACAACATTTATAAGACCTGCTCAGCTTGCTTAAGTACAAGGTCCACTAAGAGAGCAAAAAAAAAAGCCTTTGCTCTTAATAATAAATCAAAAATTATAAATAATTAAGTAGAAAATCAATTCAATAATAAGACAGATAAGGTAGATTAGATAGATACAATTGCTTTTACTGATATCATCAAATATGTTTCTAATAAAATTGTGAACCTTGAACAAGATATCAAACTTTTTTTTAGCTTTGATATTGAACTTAATAATAACAAATTGGCTAAGGTTAACTATAATATGAAGATTTTGGCAAAATTAATAATAGATGAGATTAAAAAAGGTAATGAATATAATTGGATATAAGTAATTTTTGGCTAAATTCTCAAAATTAGTGTTGTACCTTATGACTCTTTATTGGCTATTTAATATTCATGTTTATACTTTTAAAAATTAAAAAAAAATTTTAATTATATAAAAAATAGATGTTAAATATTAATAATTTCTATAAGATTTTAGTTGTTATTTCTGTTTTTGTATAACATGTCTTACCTTTTTATGCCTGTCTACTGACAATAAATTTAATTTTTATATATTGTAGATTCACAACTGAATCTAACTTATCAGTACATTATACTGGTGTTGATGCATTCTACCTTTCATGCTCTTAGTGTTATAAATTAGAATGCAAATACAAAGAATCAAACTGTAAAAGGATGGCTCGATTTGATTGCTATGGCAAGCTGGTTATCAATATTAATATAGCAACAAAAAAGGTAAAAATTAAGTTTAGTCATGATATTCATTATGAAAAGCTTATAGATGTTATGATCTTAGAAGAAATAAAGTGCAAAATTATGCAAAATCTTCATATAGATCCTATACAATTAAGAACTCACCTCCTCAAAAATTTGATACCTTACAAGTTACTCCAAAACAAATAAATTATTAGTGGTTTGCTTTTAATTAGTGTTTTTTCAAATTAGATAAGAAACCTGTTACTTTTGCGCATTGTTTTTTAAAAAATTCTTATAGTAATAGTGAATTTTGTTGTAAATGAAGAGATAATTTAGTTATTGCAATTGGATTATAACCCCTCTACTAATTAAATTATTACCAGTATTGAGTATTTATTGTGATGCAATCTATAAAACAGCTAGAAAAAGATTCGAACTATATAAAATTATTAGTAACACTAATGGTGTAGGATTTTTTATAGCATATTTATTATTAAATACTACAAATGCATCTAACAATGAACAAACAGAGTTATATACAAAAGCACTTGTTGGTTTCTTTCATTCTCTTTTTAACAAAAGGTTATGGCCACAATACTTTTTCACTAACAAGAATTTCACCGAAATCAATGCTGCAAAAGAGGTGTAGTCAGAAATTAGCAAGCAAATTTGCTTATGATATATCAAAAAGGCAATAAATGAAAAACTTAAAAGTCACAATAAAATTAAACATACTCAATACCAGCCAGATAATGTTATTGCAGAATTTGACTTTATAGACCCTTCTTTTAAATCTGATTTAAGTCATTTTGAGTCTGATTACTATATTGTATATTTACCAAAACTGTGAAATAAAGTTATCAATCTTGTTGAAAAACACTTTAACATGCATACAAAAATTCCTGTAAATGCTGTCAGTAAATTTCTAACTGCTAATGAAATCTATATTAATGCAGTTTATAAAATTTATAGTTTCTGCTTTGAACATAACCTAGTACTTCTTTGGGTCTATTTATGGCCTGCATGATATAAAATTACTAGATGGTTTCTTTGGGCTAGATCAGCACATCCAACTATTCCATTAAGTAAGACAAATATGATTATCAAATTACATTGGAAAGTCATAAAGCATTGCTATCTACATAGATTTAACAGACCTTGATTAAATTATGTTGTGTAGATTATTTGCACATATCTTCTTCCTAACCAACTTATCTGTTTTACTTAAATATATCAAAGACAAATAATTTCATCTTGGTTCAATGATTTTAAAAAGAATTGGATGCAATGTGCAATAAATAAAATTGATAATAATGATAATACTTGTCATTTTATTAATTTGGCACATTGGATATGTAGCTGTTTCTCATTTCTATATTCTTGTTTTCTTATCTGCAAACACTTAGTACAATGTGCAATTGAAAAGGCAATGTTACTTGATTCTCAAGGTATTAGATTGGTATATGGAAACTTTAAAAGACAGAAAGATTATCTTTTTCTTATTTAGAATACCAATGAAAAGTATATTCCAAAAGAGATCAATATGCAACAATCTATAATTTCACAAGTAAAAACCTAATCATTCTTAATTTCACAGAATAGTGGTTTAACTCAAATAGATGAAGATGATTGCCTTTTAGATTCAGACATGCATCAAATTTGCAAACAAAAAGTTGCAGCTGTAAGACATATAGCTAATTATTTAGAACAAGAGCTTTTAGTAAACAACTTAAACCATGTAACATTAGTTATTAATTATTTGGATAAATTATTTACTATGCAAATGATATTGAAACATCACAGAATAAAAGAAGATGTAATCCAACATAGCAAGGGTCTACTCTCTGAATATTATTTTTGCAGTAATAAATACATATATACATATACAAAATTATGTCTCTATAAAAAAAAAAAAAAAACTATTTAGAATAAAGAATATAAAAAGTTTTAATTAAAACAAAAAAAAAATTCTTTATCTTAAATAGCATAAATTAGTTCATTATAAATATAAATACTTTTTGAATAAATGATCGACAATTGTAGCATAAAAAAACTTTATCTTAACCTATAATATATATAATTATTCAATTCATTGATTCAATTTAAATAGTTTTGAAATCAAGTTATATTAGTTAATTTGTTTGAAAGTTGGTTCTATTTAATACAATAAAATAATTTAAATCATCAAAGATTCTTTATTATAGTGTGATAACATGTTACTTGTATTACTTGTATTAGAAAGTTTTTTATAAAGATGTATGCAAATAGAAAAATCCAGTATTGGTTATACCAAATATGCAAACAAAAAACAGAAAGATACAAATTCTGATATAGGTCAAAACCTTTGCTGATCCTAAATTTTCAAATAAGGCTAAAAGCAAATACATAAAAAAATGTAAAAACAGTTTGATAAACTTCACTTGGACTACTAAAAAAAAAGATTCAGCTAACAAAACACAACTACTTTGTCTTAACAACAATATAAGCAAAGCTCTGTTAAACAAAATGGTTATTGGTTTTCAAAACTTTTAGAAAATTTTTGGGAAAAATTGAAAAACAGCATTTGATCCAAAAAAACAAATCAAAAGCACATGACCAGTATACAAAATAAACAAAACCAAAGCAACATGTCACATTATACCAAACAACAACAAGAATTAATGATAATCAGCCTAATTAGAAAACAACAAGTAAGTATAGCATGTGTAGCAAGCAGATGGATAAACATCAGAAAAATCTAAAAACAGAAGTACAAACAAGATTGGGCCTACCATGTAGCACAAGCCTAATACAACATATTAGAGGCTTCGGTGATAGAAATAAGAGATACGTAGATAGCAAAATACTAGATTCAATCCTGTTAAAGCCGATAAATAAGCCAAACAACTTAGAGTATATAGCAAGAAACCTAGCGGTCTATGATCCAAAAAATATAACACCAGATGACCTACTTCGATATGGCCAAATTTTAGAAGCACTTAAA